AAAAAAAAAAAAAAAAAAAAAAAAAAAACTCATCGTCCACTCGGTCGACCGGTGCACCATTAGGAGAAACAACAACTAAAATTTGTGTCCTAAGTGATTGTCCGTTTAAAGCAATGGTATGATGCATAGTTGGGGAGACGCTCCCCTCAAAAAAGAAAAAAAAAAAAAAAAAATGAGAGCGCAGCACACCGTGGGTAATACAACCAGGTAGCTCAATGCAAGTGCCACAACTACATTTTACCCAAATGTACACCCTCCCCACACACGGTCCGTCTGCTTCCCTTCTCTGTTGCAGAACGAACAGAACAATGGAGTCCCGAAGAGGATGAATAATTATCAGAAGAACAAGGAGAGGATCAAGAGGCTCAAGTTGGAGGGGGAGAACAGACGTGGCGAGGGGGGAGAATCATGCGAAGCACGTGAGAGGAGCGAGTCTGCCCCGCGCGAGAGACTCCCTAATTTGAAAAAGTACGCCCTGTGCATTGGGTACGTGGGCAGCAGGTACCACGGGTGCCAGGGGCAAGGGAAGGATTGCATGACCATCGAAAATGAGATCGAGAGGACCCTCATAAAGATGAACGCCGTGGGACGGCGGGGTGGTTGCAGGAAGGACTTTAACTTTTGCCAATCGCGCTCCGCCAGGACGGACCTGGGCGTGCACGCCTTGTACAACGTGTTTGTGTATCAGGTGGACTTGAGCTGCGGCCAGGCGTCCGGTGCAGCTGCAGATGTGGTAGAGGCAAACGTGGCAAAGACAGACGTGGTAGAGAGTGGTGACGCGGCAGGTGCGGCCCCCGACGAAGACGCCACTGCCCGAGGGGTTGCCACCCACAGCGCCGCCCTAGAGGAACGGAAAAAAAAGGAAGAAAAGTTTGTGAAGCTTCTGAACGAACACCTGCCTGAAGACATCCGCTGCTTCGACATTCACAGAGTGACGAAGAGCTTCGACGCAAGGAAGTTCTGCTCGTTCCGATTATATGAGTACCTCTTTCCCGTGTATGTTTTGAGTGAGGTAACTGTGCGGGATGAGTACAAGGATGTGTTTGATGAGGCTCTGCGTATGATCGACGGGCGCGTGGAGGAGTTAAAGAGGAGGAAGCGCGAAGGGGGGGTGGCAGATAAGGGCGAGGGTGAAGCGGCTAAGGAGAAGGTGGAGGATGAAGCGGCTAAGGAGCAGGGTCAGGATGACGCGGTTAAGGAGAAGGGTCATGGTGAAGCGGGTAAGGAGAAGGGGGAAGACGACGCGGCGAAACAAAATAGCTGGGACCATATCCTCACCGTGAAGGAAGAAAAAGAAGACCTGACGGAAGAAGAACTGAACACCTTCTTTGAAATCGTTCAAAGCTACGCAGGGTACCACAACTTTCACTGCTTCACAAAAAACAATGTGGACCAAACGACCTTCCGCTTTATAAAGTACTTAGATGTAAGTACAGTAAATTTATACAACTACAATTTCGTGTCTGTGAAAATATTAGGTCAGTCTTTTTTAATGCACCAAATAAGAAAAATGTTAACCCTGTCTGTGGAAATATTTCGTAAGGCTACTTCTGTAAACTCCATTTATTATTGTTTGAAGTCGAGGGAGTATGTACCCATTTCTCTTTTCCCCGCTGAGGGTCTGATGCTCATTTGCCCGTACTTCAATGCGTACAATGAGAAGGTGTGCAACCCTCCACAGAGTCCTCAAATTTGCTTTGAGGAGACCGAGGAAGTTTTGAAGTTCAAGCGGGACGTGGTCGCCAAGTGCATCATTGAAAAAATGCGCAGGGATGTGTAAGTTTGGGTTGGACGACAGGGGAGATACACACACACCCTTTTAACGAGTGGGACAAAGCGGAGTCCCCATCATGTCGTGCACACTCGTGTCGAATTGGTCACCAAGTCGTGTAGAACTGTAGCTACACACTCGCGCGTCACTGTTTATTTATTTATTTTTTTTTTCCGCTCCCCCCCCTTGCAGGTGGAAGGACTGGATGGTGAAGATGAACAAGCGCCCTTTTGTGTACCATTTCATGAAGGACAAACTTGGTGGTGTGAAGCCAAGCGGTGAGCGCAGCGACCAAGTATGACGCCGTGGAGGAAGTGAATGGGAAGCGCGTAGTCTTCTGCTGTAGGGGGTCCATTATCCAGCGCTACGTTTTCCCCCCCAAGAGGGCCAATTCGTGTTAGTACCTTCGCACCCTACTACTTACGCGTGTGTCCTCCCCTTTTTGTAAGTGCTCTTTGACCGTATGCGCATGGCAATACCACCCCTCCCCAATCACCGGGGGGTGACTTAACAGTAACGGTTTTGAACTGTCCCACGTAATGACCCCACCAGGGGAGGAAGGACTCTACACAGACCCTCAGCATGTATGTCATATGAGTTCATTTTAGTTGACGCAAAATTTATCTACGCATTATTGCACGAGGCACATGAAGGAAAAAAAACACGCGGTGCAAATTTCCCACAGGTGAAACGCGATGTGGTCACGCAAAGGTCACCCTGTGCGATTTGCGCTTCACCTGTACACATATACATACATATATGTGTGTGTTAGGTACTGGGTCCCCCCCAACACTTTTTACGGATTCACTTGTTACGCATTCACTTGTTACGCATTCACTTTTATGCATTCACTTTGCGGGGAGAAGGGTCACACTTTAATCAGTGTGAGCGTGCCGTTGCTGGACACAGTGACCAGGTGTGAGTTGGACAGCAAGTAGGCGTCGACGATGGTCGTTTTTTTTTTGTTATTCATAAACTTGGAGAAATTAAATCCGAGGTAACCAAAATTGATTCCACCGATAATGACGCTCTGGTAAGCGTCCTTATCACTGTTTGCATCTGCCTCGTCCTCTGTGTCACTGACCGTTTTGAAGAGGTTCACGGAGTTGGAGGACGTGCTGCTTTTCTTCACTTTAGGAGGTGTACTGTTATTTTCTTTCACACTGGAGGAAGGTTTTTCCTTTCCCTTTTCTTCACTTGCGAGGGGTATTAATGAGGTACTTTTTGCATCTGAGAGTGCTGGGTTCTGAGGGGAGTCGTTCGAGTAGTTCGAGTAGTTCCCCTGGGAGCGTTCTTGTTGGTGTTGGTTTTTCTTCCCGGAGAAGCTGATACTTGTGTTGGGAACCCCAGTGATGCTTCCACCTGGGGCAAGGTTCTCGGGCCCATTGGCACTGCTTCCATTGCGGAGGCTTCCTCCAGTGGCACTAATATCCACAGGACCCGTATTGACGCTGTTGACGCCGTTGACGTTGCTGAGCTTGTCGTCCCCTCTGGTGTTGCTCTGCTTTTTGGGATAATTGGAGGAGAGGAAATAGGATAAATTAAAGATGGAGACTCCGTCGTTTTCGTTTTCTTCCTTTTTTCTTTTTTCCTTTAGTTCGTTTATTTTTTCTTCACAGATACATTTGTTTGGGGGTACGTCATGCTTTATCTGGACCTCTTTGATGAGCGTTATTGCGAGGGCTGACTCGACTAGGTAGATGCGCAGCTGCAGGGGGGGTGGGGGGGTAGATGGATGAGAAAGAGATTTGGTGGTGTTGTTTCAGTTGGGGGAGAGGGGGCCACGGGTGCACTTGTCCGCAGCGTGGCAGCGTAACAAGCGCGACACACTCCTTACCCTTGCGTCCGCCAGAACAAGCAACTTGGTGACGATATTTTTGCACACGAAAACTTTCAGGATGGGGACATCGAAGGCCCGGAAGAAGTGCACCTTCTTGTACATCTGTAGGTGTACTACGTGGATGTACCCCAACTGGTCTCCATAAAAAACGTAAGCATCCTGGGAGAAGTTATTTGAGTATACTTTGTGATGGAACAGGTGCCAAAAGATGCCTTTTTTTTTCTTTGGTGTTTCTATAACATCGGTGAGATGATTGTTCCCTTTCGAGGGTTGTTCGGTCCGCTTGTTATTTGTTCTCGACGTGAGTTCTCCTGCTGCTACTGCTCTGTCCAACGGATCCTGCACAACGTTGTAGAGGTGGTTCCGAGATGATAACCAAGTACAGAACGTCGTAATGGAGTTCGCACTTTCGTTGTTTTTCCTTTTACTGGACTGGACTTTATTATCAGGTAAATTTCCTATGATGCAGACGAGGGTTGGGTGGAGAACACTTTGGTTCTTCTCTAACTTCTTGGCACCTGCCCGATTGGTCATTTCGTTCCTTCCATATGAATGGCTGTTAGAGTTGCTATTGTTATTGTTACTGCTGCTGATGGTGGTAGTGCCATTTTGGCTAAGCGAATTAGGACCCACGTCAGAAGACCCAGCAGGTGGTATTATCTTCCCTTTTAAGAACTGCTTCTCCTCGTTGGTCAAAATAGAGCACAAATCCCAAACACAGAGGCACACGGTGTCCGCCAGATCTTCAACACTTCGTAACTTTTTGTTACTCTTAAAAAACATACCATTATGAGCGTCCACGTGAAAGAAAGAAGATTTGAAGTAGGTCTTTTTCTTTTTAAATACGTGTAGGTTGAAGAACGCATCGATGTGATTCATTTTGCTTTTCTCGACCATGTTTGTTTGTGCCTCACGATTGTTTTTATTTTTGTTTTTGTTCTTTTGTTCCCGTGGTTGTGGTGAGAAGTGGTCTTTCTTATCCGGACGAGGTACATCACTTGGGCAGCACTCGGAGGGGGCCAAGTTCGAAATGGACAGACTCTTGTGCGCCTCAGTGGGGCGCTCCTGCGTGCTGCTGCTTAGTTCGGGGCAACCGTGGGCGTTCTCTTCTTCAGCGAGCAGCTGCTCAGTGCGCGATTTCTCCTGCGACTTGCTAACCTCTTGGGTACGTCGCAAATGCTCATCAACCCTGGCAAAGTCCGCGTCGATGAAGACGGTATGGTTGCTCACCGAGTTGGGACTGACCCCCTTGCCGATGCTGACCAAGTAGAAAGTGGAGTCGTCCAGAGACCTCACATCCACAACCTCGTCATGTAGTTTTACCACGCACATGGCTTCCCTTATAATGTAACTGCCTTTCCTTGAGCACCGATGCGGTCTCCATCGTCTTTTCACCCTGCGTCGTTTCCTCACCTCCCTTTCCCCTCTTCTCTCTCCCGAAGCCTTTTTCTTATTGTTCTTAAGAAAATTGTCTTTAAAGAAGTTTCTTATTTTTTTGTTTCCCTCCTTTATCTTGCTTCCAAAGTTGACGCTTTCGCTTTGCTCGTCGTTCTTTTTTTTTTCCCCATTTGTGGCTCCTTTTCCGTTCTTTCCTTGCCCTTCCTGGGATGCCCGTCCGTCCTCTGCACCCATCTGGCTGGGCTTATTCGATTTTGGCGTTTCTTCGTCCCCCCCCTCACGATCAGCTTTGCGGCCCTCCTCCGCGTGGCCATCGGCTCGACCCCCTCTCGGGTCATCCTCGCACTCATCGTAGTAGTCCTCGTAATATTCATCGGAGTAGTCGTCGTAATATTCGTCGTACCCGTCGTCATACTCATCATCGTACTCATAGCATTCCTCCTCATAGAAGCCATCGGGGCGGATGCCGCCCGCGTGCTCGGCTGCACTGGCAGCATATGCCGCTGTGGCCCCTGCCCTGTCTGAGATGTTATCCCTTTTATGCGTGTAGGCTTTGCTTCCAGAAGTGGTGGGCCCATTCCTATCTACATTAGGATCATTCCCCACACCGTTCACAAACGACTTAGGGTTCAAAAAATTGCCTAAGAAAATATTATATATGTATAAGTGTCCACACTCATCAGAGATCATCAACAGATTTCCATTTGAACTCCAACACACACTAGAGATGATCCCATATCGGTAACAAATATGTTCATAATTTAAAGAAAAACTACAGAGCCTTATTTGGAATCTGTTTTTGTCGAAGGGTTGTTGTTCTGAGGTTGTAATTTTTTCGTGGTTGATATTTATAAGTGCGTAGACGGGGAGAAAAGGGTGAGAAATGATGGCTCCTGTTTTTAAAAGAAAACAGCTGTCCTTTTTATTTGATAATTGGTTAATGAAATTGTATTTTTTTCTTATGCATGTGTTAGCATTTCTTTCTAGGTACTCTAGGAGGTGTTGGAATTCATTTTTTTCATTTTTTTTTTTTTTTTTTTCCTTTCCTTTTTTTGCTGTGATAATTTTGTCCGATTCGTTTAGGGTTACATTATTGTACAGGAGCAGCATCACTGTCTCTATGTACTTTTGTGCCGTCTTCGAGATGGTTATATTTGTGTCTAGTTGTTTTTCTCGTTCGTGCTTCCCCCTTGTGGGCGTCACTACTGCTACGTTTGTGGAGTCATGCGTTGCGCGCAGCAGTGCCTTTTGCGTTCCCTTCCATTCTTGCCACCCAGGGGAGGAGGAGTCTCCACGTGCGGATGCATCAACGTCTTGAGATGATGGGATGCGAGATGCATGGCCTTCCTTCAGTGCACCCTTTCTACTCATCTCCGTCTGTGTTCGAGATTGGTCGCCCCCGCCGTAGAATATCGACCCCACGTTGTTCGAGTTCAGCAGAAGAGTCATTGTATTATCATACACATAAAACATATTATGAAAGAACAGGTTGTTTACGAAATGGTTATTGTAGGAATTGGTGAAGAGGCTGGTGACGCTGCAGTCGTTTGGGACGAAGTTGCTCATGTAGGTGCACAGCGGGGTCAGGTTGTGCATGCACTGAATGTGCATACATTTGTATATATACAGAAGCTTATTCATGTTGATGTCGAGGAAGATTTTCTCATTCCTGCGGTTACCACTTCGTTTGTCGCCACGTCGTTTGTTGCCATTTCGTTGGCCATCCCCAGCGCTGCCCCTGCTACTGCCCTTGCTACTGCCGCTGGGGGTTCTGTCCCTCCCGATTCGTCCGCGTCCCGCATGCGCGTTTCTTGCCTGATTGACCTCCTTACACATCTGATCAGTTGGCGCGTTTACTTCTTGTTCAAGCGGTGCTCCTGCTTTCCCGTGGAGGGAGTAGCTATGCCAGGGGCGCTGCTCCCCGTTTGGGGTGGGAAGGATGTCCACTTCAACGCTACGATTAGCACGGTCGCCCTTCGCACCATCAGTGCTTTCCCCTTTGTGTTTTTTTTTTTTCGCTGCACTGGGTACAATTTGGGCGAGAGTTTTTTCCCCCCTTAAGCTGACGGACCTCTTGCGCATTTTGTTCTTCCCGATTCCACTTCTACCCCTGGAAGTCCTCCGGCCCTTGTCCTTCAAATCGTAATGCGAAATGTAGTTGATGAATCTGCATTTCTTATTGAGCTTCTTCAAGTGGTCTAGAATAGAAATTTTTTTTATTTTATTTTTTTTATGTATATAAAGGATGGTGCTGTTGTGGCTGTCCATTTTTCCCTGCTCGATGACATGCCTGTCGCTCATATTGTTGAATAGGTAAGATAAGGGGATGACGTGGGGGAGCTTGTTATGTTCTTTTTTGCTTCTTCCTTTGTGGCTTGTCTTCCGAGGGTGATTACTCCTCGGGTTGGATCCACGTTGATGTTCCTTGTTCGCATTTGTAGTGGTTTCTCTGGAGTGGGCTGTGCGCGGGTCGCTCCGACGCTCCCCGTCACCGCCGCCAACTTGGTCATCACGGTAAGCACCGCCATTAACAGCGCTGTGGCTGCTCCCGTTACGCATCGATCGGGGTGTCGCTCCCACGAGGTCCTGCTCCATAGGGCGTCCCTTCCTGTCTCGCGTAGCACTCACTACGTGATTCCACCCCTCCTCATCTTCATCCTCCTCTTCGCCTTCATCTACTTCACTACCGTTTTCACCGTCCTGACTGCTGCTTCCCTCCGTCTCGACCGTGCCGTACTTCAAGAGGTTTTTTTTAATTTTAAAAATATTATCATAATTAACGTGGCGGTACTCCCCGCGCCCCTTCTCCTTCTCCTTCTCCTTCTCCTTCTCCTTGTCCTCCTCCTCCTCCAGGGTGCTTTTCCTGTTTGTCTTTTTCACCACGAGGTTTGTTCTCTTTCCGTCTGTGTCGATTCGTTTCGCATCCCCACCACTGCTACCACTTCCGCTAGCACCCAACTTTAGATTCTTGAAGAAGCTCATTCTAGAAGTGAAAGAAAAAAAACGGTCATAGCTTCTGGGTCTCTTAAAGAGGAAGTTACTTTGGTTACAAATCATGTTTCCCTTTTCCACGTTTGAGGCTGGAATGACCAGATGATACTGTTCACTTATTCTACACCCTTGCTTGTACAGCTGATGAAACTTCATGTATTCATTTAGGTGGGCGTGGTTGTAGGTTGCGTTCATGTGGGGGGGGTACGCTTCGCTCTGTTTGACGGGTTCTACTTGTTGGCCTCCTCGGTGGGTACTGACCAAATCGTTCACAGAATCGTTGTAGTCGTAGAAGCTTTTGTTAAAGAAAAGGAGAAAGGACCTATACGTGCAGTTGTTCATCTTCCATATAGCGTAAAGGGGCTTGTTATAAAAGAGGGAGATGTGTGAATCGATGAAGTGCTCACACAAAACATGATTCTGTTTCTTTGTCTTTATTTTGTTGAAGAAAAAAGGGAAAGACAGAAAGGTCAGCAAGGTGTTCTTAATATTGTATGCAGAGTTGTATAAAAGATCTTTCATCCTGCAGAGGAGAAATTTATTTACCAAATGGCACAGATTATCAACGAAGTGCAGAAGAATACACGTATTGTAATAAAATGGGTTGATGTGGCTCTTCGTGTTTGCCTGGCTGTACTTGCTGTATGTTATGTGGAGAGCGCCATGTGGGTCGCTTCCTTTTACTGAATAGCTGCCCTTGCCTCTCATGTGCAGTTGTGGTGTGAAGACGTTCGCCTTGTACGCAAAGATGTGGAAGTTTCCAATGAGCAGTTCGAAGGTGGATAAGAAAATGCTCACGATACAATATTTTTCGAAGAGCAGGTTTTCTGTTTCCTCTTGCTCTGGGGGTGAAAACGAGAATGATGTTTGTGATAGTCTTCCCTTGTGCACGTACTCACATGAGCGTATGCTCATCTGTGGTTCTATGTCTTTATCATTTTGAAGGTTGCTCTTGCTAGGAGGAGAGGTTATTTCCAATGGAGTTACATTCACGTCTATACCTTCGCTGGAGAGCATTCTGGCGTTCTGCTTGCTATTGCTGGTTGTTCTTTTCCTCTTCTTCATCCTTCCATGGAGGGAATTGTCCCCACTGATCATGTGCAACCATGGAGATAGCTTTCCTTTCTTCCCTCTAAGGTAGGCACACTTAACAAATTTAATCAACAGATCGGCAGTGCTGATGGTGCTATTCCCTTTATACACATTTTCAATTGCCCAATTTAATTTTTTAATTTTTTTCAGTAGAAGACGCAAGACGAGAAATAGCTTTTTCAGGTGTCTTCCTTTATGGGTTCTACTTTGGTGGGTTCTTCTTTCATTCCCTTGAGTGTTCTGTTTATTTATGCACACATCTCCATTGTGAAAGAAGCCGTAGTGGGTGTCCAGCATGAGGAAGCATATAACCAGCACGGTTAGGTAGCATAGGAACAGATCTAACAGGTGCATATGATAAGAAAAAAACTTTGGGTCAACCTTTATGTATATATTATGGATTTTCTCTTGTTTGTTGCATGCTTCTTGTCTCGTTACTCTTCCCCCTTCCTCCGTGCTGGGTTCACACAGGTGATTCGAATGTGGCTTCACATTCTTCTTCAAATTGTTCTTCAAATGTGTGGACACATGCGCTTCTTCATTTCCCTCCCGAGAGAAGCAGTTGCGAAGGCCGACGCGCAAAATGACAATCTGCAGGTAAGGGGCGTGCAGGGACGCCAAGAGTTCGCGCAGGGACGACACGGGGTCGTGCAGAGAGGACGACGATTCGCACTTGCTGTTCTTTACAAAACTAAACAGAACCCTAACCACGTCATTTACGTAGATAAAGAGAATGGGAACGATGTAATTCAGTACGAACCGAATGACGTTTTCGCTCTGTGCCTCTTCCACAATGTGTAGTGTAAAGAAGTGAAAAAATAAATGGGTCAGGAGGGTATTGTACTTGTTTAAGGAAACGTAGAGGTTAGGGATTGCACTGGGACAACTTGAATCTCTCATTTCGTTCTTTGAAACTTCGTAACGCATGTAATGGTTGACACTAGTTGTGTTGAACAGCAGCTGGGTGCTCTTCCCACCGTGCATGCTATTTATTTTTTGTAGTAGTGTGGTTAGGAAGAGGCTCAGGTTGCGCTTCCTCGCGCAGCTGTCCTTCGTTCTGATGTCCCTCAGCTTGTTCAACAGGCGGCGCAAGCCCGGCGCGGGTTCGACCGCGCCACAGTGTGGGTCGCCATGCGTGTTGCCATGCGTGTTGCAGTTTGCTTCACATTGTATATAACCGCGCGTACCATCGTGTGTACGACCGCGCGTAAGACCGTCCGTATCAGCATATGCGCCTGGGTCTTCGCTGGCGCCTCCCCGGCTGATGCACTCAAAGAGCAAATGCACCAGCTGCGCAAACAGCTTGAACGAGTGCGTGAAGTCGATGGAGTTGTCTCTGTCCTCCCGGTCGCCGCTGGCTACCCGGGGCCCCCCCTTATTCTCACAGGAGGAAGCAAAAATAATCTCAAACAAGAATTTATTTGCACTGAGAAAGGTCTCCAGGTAAGCTTCAGAGGAGACACACAAGAAGAATTTGAGTCTGTCATGGAGGAGCATCAACTCTTGGTCTTTGTCGGTGACGTGAAAAAAAATGAAGAGCAAAATGAATGACAGGTTGCTCATGTGTTGCGAGCAAAAATGGAGGGAGCTGAAGTAGCACTCGATTTTACTCATCCTAAAGGTGCATTCTCGTTGTTCGTCTCCGTCTTCGTATTCCTTTTCGTATTGACCGTGTACACCATGGCCGCTTACACCTTGGCCGCGTGTATCTTGACCAGCGCCGTACAGAGCAGCCACCCCGAGTGCAGCACCCCCCCCCTGTCTCTTCTCCTGTCTCCTTATTCTACCCACAATAACATTTTTCAACACCAGAAGGAGAAAAGCATACCTGTTTGATTCTTTACATTTGGAGTGCACCTCTGCATAATTCCCTAGCAGGATATTCTTCATCACGTCCCGGTAGTAGTTTCTGTCCTGAAGGTGGTATCTACGATGAACATCTTCATGGCGATCGGACTTGAGTTTCTTGGCAAAAATGTAGCTCAAGTATTGTTGGAGGAAGTCACGTGGTTCCTTCAGGTAGTGGAGCGATTCCTCTTCAATTTCTTTACCCTCTCCTGCCATCACTTCACCATCCAGGACTTCTTTACTTGGCTCTTCCCCCACTTCACTCATATTGCCCATATCGCCTACTTCGCTGGAGGGCAGGTAGCCACTGCCCTGTACCGCGGACATGCTGGAGTCCTGTAACACGCTACTACTTTCCCCTAAAGGGGCACACGGTGCGCACACCAAAAAGTTATTTCTGCCTCCAAGGCCCTGCCCCTTTTCTACGTAGGAGGCATAAACGAGTCTAATGAGGAAGACACTCAATTGTGGGTCCTCCAAATATTGATAAGCCACATCAATGACGTCTTTAATGTCTCCACGAAGAATGAAAAAGGCGATGGCCAGGTAGTATCTGTTAATTTGTACCAACTTGTATGCATTGTTCATAAGTGCGTTACTCCATCTCTCTTTAGAAAAATCATTTGAAAGGAATTCAAAAATTTTTTGTTGCTTTTTAATTTTATACAACATCATAAGTTTCTGTTTCTCATTTTTCGCTAGATATAATAATGCGAGAAAGTCTAAACATTCATTTACTTCATTTTGTTTTTCTTTATCCTCGACATTGAGGCTGTTCATTTTTTTTATTGTCCTGTTCGTCAGCACCTCATGCAGGTAAAATAAGTTATCCCTATCGTGAAGTGCATAGAACAACTTCATACTTCTAAATGAAAAAAAAAAACAAAACTTGTGGACTCCCTCTTCTATCATTTTGAAGTTGTTCATTTTTTCAATGAGTACATTATTAAGCTCTGGTTGTGGTGGGGCATTTTCTTTTCGTGTCCATCGTACGAGACGGCCATGGGAGGACATTCTACCATCTTGGTGGTGGTAGGGAAGTGATACAGGTTCAACATGGGAACCGCGTCTCGCACTCACTGCGCCACTCATATCGAACAGGTCGACGCTGCTTAAGTCACTGCTGCTAATGGGGAGGCGGAAGGAGTGGTTGTAGTGGGTCAGGAGATTCTCCAGATAATTGCTCAGATCCTCTGCAACCTTCTCATGTACAAAATAGAGCAGGTAGGCATACTGGTGATGAATTTCTAGGTTTATGTTTAGGAAGAGACAGCAATTGATGTAGAGGCGATAAAAAAAGAGGATGACTTGGGTCATGTTGCTTCCGTTGGGTTGTCCTCCCTGGTCTCCACTTCCATGCACGTGGTCATACAGGTACATGTTTTCTGTCTTGATGAGTTCCTTCTGGAGGTGCAGACCAAAATTTTCACAGTGGCATCTGGTGCATTTTTTGGAGGTGTGTGCACCCTCTTCGGCAGCGGAGTCTTCCGATGGGTGACTGCTATCGAAGCCATCACCTCCACTGCTTCGCATGCTTCTCATGCTGCCCCCACTCTCACTGTTACTATCATCCGCGGGGGGCGCTCCCAAATTAACGCAGAATGCGTTCAACACACAAAAGAGAAGGAGCTGGTCGAAGGCTCTCAAGTGGGGGACATTCACATGGAGGAGTAGAATCTGGAGGATCTTGACCTCTTCAGCCGTCAATTGGTAGTTTGTCACGCGGGCGTTTTTCAGGTCGTACTTGAAGTTCCGCTGCATCCGTTCCCGTTCGTCCTCACTGCACTCACTTTGATCGGTGCTGTCGCGTCCCCCGCTTTGGTCGCTGCTGCTTCTTTGGTCAGAATGTCGCGACGGGGTGGGGGCCTTCTCTTCCTCCTCGCTACCCTTCTTCGACGAGGCAGATTCCTCCTCATCAGAGTTGAGATTAAAATCGTCCAATGACACCGACTCGACTTCAAACAGGTACATAGATTTATCCTTATGTCCCCCCACATCTGCATTATCGTTCTTCCCTTGGAGGAGACTCTTCTCCTCCCCCTGTTCCTTCCCATCTGCGTCTCCTCCTGCACACACATCATCATTAACCCTACCTTGCGCACTCTGTTGAAACTTACACATTTCAGTGGTCAAAAAATTTAAGTTAAAAAGGAAATTGCTTTTCTGTACAGTGCATATATCACCAAAGTTTTCCTGGACTGACTTTTTCATATTTGTGTTCTCCAGTAGGATGTGCAGAGCGCAGTGCTTTTTCCTAGAACACCCCTCCCACGAGATATTATTTCTAACGTTAATTTTTTCAACAGAATTATAAAACCTGTTGAGCAAAAGGCTTAGGAGTAATTTCAATGCCATATATACATGAGAAAAGAGACCCATCTTTATGTACTGCAAGAGACCAAGGGGGTGATAAAAGACGTGATGTTTCTTTTTGCATGGGAGAGCCTCTGCCTCGGCTTTTTCTCCCTCCATATATCCTTCGCCTCGTTTTTGACATTTCTTCAGTTCATTGTACAGGTTGATTTTGCGTCGGTACAGTTTTTGGCCACGAGGGCACCTCGTCTGGGTGATGACTCGCATGTTTTTCCCTTTTCGACCCCACAAACCACTCCTTATGAATCCCTCGTTGAGAAATTTTTTCTGGCTTGGATCCCACACGAAACCCCTCCTCTTCTGCTCCCCACTCAGCAGGAACAAATTATTTTCAAACAAAAACACCTGCTTGGAGAGGAAGAAGGGATTCGTTTCATAATTTAAAACCTTCCACTCATTGTCATTCGATGCTTCACAGAACAAAACCACGGAGACGTAGTATTTTTTATGTGCGAACCTCTCGTCATTTGCCTTCCCATTACATATTTTCTTTTCCCTCTGATGTTGTCCCCTCTGTTTAAGCTGTTTTAAATTGACCAAAAAACTGGCTACAATAAAATATGTGTTTTTTTCACCTGAACAAGTCATACAAATTTTTGTTTTTTTATTTTCGAACATTTTCGGTAAGGGGATCGAAACAAAGTTTAAGATATTTGTCTTTTCCATGGAGAGAGGTATATCTTCCATGTTATTTTCTTCCATTCTGATTAGGTCATTACAAACTGTCTTGAGGTTCACAACTTGAAGTTTCGTCTTTGTTAGTAGGACGACATAGCTTCCGTGGACAACTATGTCGACGAGATCGGGGACATTTCTAATTTGAACAGGATGCGCGATGGATCCTTGTTCTGTGCAGAGGAGGTACAGGTTTACTACCATTTCGTTTGAGTGTAATGATTTGTCTTCATTCTGCCCTTCTTGCTTGTGGGGGTCCTCATCATCCAGTACCAACACGTATGGTTTCTCCACCCCGGAGGAGCTTCTAACTTGCAGAAGTCCCTTCCTAACAGCGAGCAAATCTTCCTCTGGGTGGTAAAAAGCACCATCCTGTTCACTTCCCCGTAGTTGTCCCTCCACCAGTGTGCAGTTACCCTTATGAACGGAATGCACATTTTGTGGGTTCACAGTGTAAGGTGATCTCTCCTCCAGTTGAACGGAGTTATTTTTTCCTCCACGCAGGGTGTGATTGGTGGCGACAATAAACTTCCCCTGGTAGGAGACGTGAATGTACGAGAACAAGAATTTTTCCCCCATGGAATGAAAAAAGGTAAACATCTGGTTCAGCTCTAAGTTTATATAAATAGAACTCTCTTTTTGAATGTGTATAGTGGAGAGGGTAACTAGGTGAGCGTGTTTAGTCCTCTTCTCGGAGTTGATATAACTGTACTTAATAATTAGGAAGAGGTAGTTCTGGCCGTTTTTAGTGTGGAGATGGAAGTCACTTATCTCGTATCCAGTCATCACGCATGATACCCCTTCTGCTTTGTAAATATCCTCCTGCGCTTTGTTCAGGTACACATTGTTGTTCGGTTCGTTTGGGTGTGGGGAGGAGTTGCCTTGCAAGCCGGTTAGTGGAAAACCCTCGTCAAAGATACAGAGCATTTTGGAGTTATGAACAACGTCCTGGGTGTCTGACTTGAGTGCAAAGATGAACTCGCGATTTTTGTCCACACACATGAGCACGAAAAAGGAATCAAATGAATCCATAACTGCGCTTTTGTAGGTCAAGGGAATCGTATTTTTTTTTTCTAAAAATTCGCTAGTTGATATGCACACGTGTGGGTTCTTCTTCACTTGTTCATACATTCTACACATCTGATATGAGTATGAATAAATGAAATGGGCTTTCCTCCTGAGGGTGTCACTTCCCTTGTGCTTCAACATGTAGTACCTATCAATGTACATGCTGTTTAGGCAGCACAGGGGGGTGAATGCCCCTCTTCTCTTTTTTGCCTCCGCCGGTTGGACCCATGAATCGTCATGCGGGTCACTACTCCTACACGTCTTGTGCTTACTCTGCGTCTCTTCTACTGCGACATCCTCCACGTTACAAAAACCCGATGGGGAAGCTTCCAACGGTTTTTCACCATTTGGAAGTTTTTTAACACTGCTGTTGGTTGCGCTGTGACATGTTGCGCCATCCAGTGGGGCCATCTCGTCATCGTTAGGATGCCTTTCGAATGAGTATTGACCATCTTTGTTTTGCCTGGTGGCTGTTGTTGGAGTCTCCTGGGGGTAACTACAGCGAGAGGACGGACAACCCGTGCCATGCCATTGGGCAGGCGATGCCCACACATAGGATCCCTTCGCTTGGATGGGAAACCCATCACATAAACTACTCCTACTTCTAACACCCATGTCGAAATTGTACAGGTAAATTTTTCCGTTTCGTTTATTCTGCACCAGAACGGCATTGTGGTTGACGTTAAAATGGATTGCGCAGTCTTCTTGAAGGATTGGCTCGTCGTGCTTTCCTTTACTCGATAATTTTTTTTTTTTTTTTTCCCATTTGGAAGAAGGTTCGCATACTTTATAATGTAGCATATACCTTACACTAACACTTTTTTTTTTTTTTATCCATATGTCACTTGGCTTGATCATAATTTTGTATAAATCTCCATTGTAGGTCGAGATGGTAAGAGCGAATGGGGGCATTAAGTTGCTGACTGTGCTGAAAAGTTTCCTAAACAGGAGAAAGTCCTTTTTTTTCATGTTGTCCTTTCTGCGGGGGTGTCTCCAAACAGTGGTCCCTCCATTGTGTCTAGCACCTGGGTCACCACCATGATAATAATCCTCATCACAATCGCCGTAGTCACTTCCTCCTTCTTCGTTGTGATCTGTGGTGGACCCACTACCACTGGAGGAGAGAGAGCACTCGGTCACTTCTGCGTGGTCCCAGCCATTGAACTCTCGTGCCACACCCCTATGTGGATTACTCTTATCTAATAAGAGCGAATCTGAAAGGGGGCAAATTTTTTTTATTTTCCACTGGCCGAATTTCATATGATACTCGTTTTCTGGTAGGAAGGTGTCATCTGTGTAAATTGAAATGAGTGATGTGTTCAGGGACCCATACTTGATCTTTGCCTGGAGCACGTACTCGTAATTGAGGTTTATAGGAATATTTTCGTAGCTCAGGATATTTTTCACGTGGGCGTCGTGACTGTATATGTTGAAAATGGCGTAGATGGAGAAGACGGAGGAGATGGTTCGCTCCCTTTCATCGCACCCACGGGGGGTTCCTCTTCTCCTAACACCACCACCTGGACTCCACTCATTTCGAGACCCATAAACAATTAAGTATTCATTCCTTGCGATGTTTGCCTTTCTGTTGTTGCCCCAGAAGCGACAAAAATTTTCACTGCTAGTGTCTTTATCTACCCAGCACCATTTTACGGACCCAATCATTTGCTCAAAGGAAGGGACATAAATTCGGCACACAGATACAAAAGTGATTTTGTTTTGGCTGTTGGTATGCTCCCTCCAGATGTACATATATCCATCGAAGCAGATTGAAGTGATAACACAAAAGGGGTCGTTTTGTTTCTCCTTCCACTTAACTGAGTACACCTCGCATTGGTGGTGTAGCACATTTAAGATGAAGACGCCGTTTGGGTCGCTATAAACATTTCTCCTTCGTTGAAGGTAGGTGTGGCGGTCGTGTTGGGAGTGTCCCCCGTGGTCACTGCTCTCGGAGGAGCTCTCTTCCGTGTCGTGTTCCGAGGGGCTCTCATCAGTGGAGTTGCCCCAATACCCAGGGGAATACTCCTCGGGGGAGTGGTCCCAAGAAGGGCAAGAGTCCCCATCGGTACGGAAACTTCCGCGGTCACTTCTGTTGTCACTTCTGCTGTCCTCCGTATCGTCGTTTGTACCGCCGTTTGTACCCTCGTCCGTACCGTCCTCCGTACCGTCCTCCGTACCATCGTTTGTACTGTGGTCACTGCGGCCGTTGGCCCCCCCTGCGAACATTTTACTCCCCCTGAGCGAACCCGTAAATGTAGACTCGCAATAGAAGGACTCAAAGGTGAAATTCTTTTTGTCCCTGTTGACATCTGTGCACATGCCACCCTCCATATTGTGAACATCCTCCCACAGTAGGGACGTCTTGGTCTTTATAAATGGGTTCTGATGGGACCTTGTTCCATTAAGAATGTCATCTAGGTCTCGAAGTAGGTTGTCCTTCTTCTGCCTCTTACTCCTACTGCTCTTGCTCCGGAGAGTTCCCCCCTTTGCCGCTACATCTGATACCCCTTCCGCTTGGCTGTGTCGCCTGCTAGGGTGTACGTGGCTGCCCCCCCTGAGCAGCGCCTCGTTAAGGCAAAATATAAAAACCATCCTGTTCCTTTCCCCGTGTTTCTTCCTCTGCCTCTCCTTCAGTATACCTGCGCCGAGATAAACGTATCCCGGTAGTGCCCGGGTGGTCGGCGGGTCCAGCGACTGCGCCATGGGCTGCACGTCGAGGTAGTCGCCTCCCCGCTTGAAGCAATACTTTATCACGTCCTTTACAATTAGGTCATGGTAGAAGATCCCCCCGTAGGGGAATGTGTCGTAGGGGCTGTACGTGCGTTCATCTTTCCACGGCTTTCCACGAACCCGTTTCAACATGTGCATTCTATTATTTAGGTTGGGTTCTTTCTCTAGATGAAGCAAAATTTCGTTGTTATATTGGTCATAGCATGGCTCTCTGCTGCCTCCATCCTTCGCATCCTTCACGGGGGTGTCCATTTGTGCAACACGTCCCGCTCGAGTTTATTTCTTCCTCACTGCGTCTTCTACTTATCCTCGATGGATTCTGTCCTTTCCGACTTGGTCGGTTCATATCTTCCTTCGGCTTGCGGTCTGGGAGCGGCGTCCCGAGGGGTGAGCCACACCACAAGCACATGCACGCCACTTACCCAGATGCGCTCACGCGTGTGTACGCTACTAACTTAGCTTCGACCAGGAGTGCACCGTGCGTCGATACATATATGCACGTAGGTGCGATTTAGGAGCGGTCTGAATATTGGGTATGCCCAGTGGGCCCGAGAGATGGAGTTGGAAAGGAACCTTTACAAGGTAAGCGTGTAATAAGGTTATTTCTTACGTGGCGTTCATTTTTTCCTTTTTTTTTTTTTTTTTTTTTTTTGCATCAACGAATTAAGGCACCCACAGCCTTGCAGTTGGAGGCACACACATGTATATCTGCCAGCACAATAGTAGAGTATTAGTACACATATTTCGCGTTCATTTTTTTTTTTTTTTTTTTTTTTTTTTTTTTTGCATCAAGGTATACGAGAATGGGTATTAGCAAAAAAAAAAAAAAAAAAATTGCCAGCTTGAGGGGTGCAATCTTTAAAGGAGTCGCATTTGGAAGGTATGCTCTGAGGTAAGGTTACACAAAGATAAAACTAAGCGCTTACGTAGAAAGAGTATGCATAATGTAATATACAAATGAGCAATTTTTGTGTTGACTCTTTCGCCGCGACATTTTTTAAATCGTCACGCTGGTGAGTCATTTTTGTGCTCACGCGTTATGCACGATTCCTTTTTTTTTTTTTTTTTTTTTTTTTTTTTTTATCCTATCATGTGTACACCCGTGCCCTCAACGCGGATAGTCTCAGTGACAGTGGGGGGGGGGGGCGGGGGAAACGCGTCTGTGTGTTTGGGTCTCCTTTCGCCCAGCAATTAAAAAAGAAAAGGAAACAGATTAGTCTTCCCAATTCGATCATGTTTGCAAACGCGTAGCTATTCTCTTCCAATCACATTCCCCCTTTGGTGAGTGACCTTATTCGTATGCGACAAATCGTTATGCGCAGTCCCTTCCAACCAGGCCTAACAACCGCACGCATACATACTCGACATTTGCGCATGTGTGCATGCGTTGCGATTATCTGGCCATACTGTTTTTTTTTTTTTTTTTTCCCCTCCTTCCGTTTTGGAAGAAGCATCATTCTGTGTTCGCGCGGAGAGTTCAGTTGAGGTGAGCTGAGCTGAAGTAGCAGCTCCATCATGTATGGGCTAGAGAAGTGTAATGGGTGAGAGCTACAAAACGTACGAGATGGCCACGTGGGAACACGTTTGGTCTCCACACACAGGTAGATGGAGTACCCTTGTTTGTCCTATTGTGTGGAAGCAACTGCAATTGGCAAATGTTATGTGTAACAACTTTTTTTCTTTTTGTCCCTCCGTTGTGCTGCTCAACGTTGGAACGTCGCTCACGAGGTGAAAAAGAAGTTTAACACTTTTGTTTGGAGGAGAGGTGTTCCCCGTGTGGGGCGAAATAAAAACGTTACAAAAAAAAAAAAAAAAAAAAATGTACAAGTGGGACGTGTTTGCCGGTCTGCCTCTTAATAAAGCTAGGCCTGTTCGCACTCCCAAATGAACTTTGGGGAGCGGTCCGTTTTGGCGGTGAGTACTTCCGCCCCGTCCTTGCGCACCACGATGGTATGCTCGAACTGAGCGGAGAAGACATACCTGGCATTGGAGAGAGTCCAGTTGTCTGGCCACATGATGAAGTCACAGGGTCGCTCAGATATGATGGGTTCAATGGTAAACACGAGATTTTCGCACATGAGTCTATTATCTTTATTTCGTGTATGAATAATAAAAGGTTCTTCATGGAAATTTTTTCCAATGTTATGTCCACACAAATGGGGGACGACTGCATAATGTACTTGGCTGTTATTTTTTTTGTGTAGGTGATTTTCTATTGCCTCTCCTATGGCACTGAAAGGGACCCCTGCTTTACAAACCCGGATGGCCTCCATGGTACACTCATGTGCAGTTCGTATGAGGTCCATATTTTTTTTATACATGTAATGTTTGAATTCCTCTACACCAAACTTCCTTTTCTCGAAAAAGGCGAACCTGTTATTATTATGTTGGGGGGGCCCTCTCGTTTTGTTATATAAGTACCTTTGAATATTATCGTACGTTTGGCTGCTTTGCTGTTTGTTATAAATGACATGCTCGTCGTATTGGCGGTGGAACATTTCTAGCTCGTCCAGGTCATCTCCCACAACCCGCGCCGCTCCATTCTCATGGGTAGGGAAGCACCCTTCTTCAGGGTTGTAATAATCGTCCTCGTTTGCGGCGTCGTACCGGTCCAAGTTGCTACCGTGGGCGAACACTGAATTGGTATTATCGTCATAGGACTCGTGTTGCTGAAAGGGAGAGTCTTTCGAGTTGGGTGGATCGTATTTGATTCTTCTTATGGAACATTGCTTTCCTGTCTTCACGACCTTATTAGTAGTGAGGTCAAAATTGTACTTGAAAATAAATTTAGTGTATTTGGTCTTGAGTTTATCATTTAAATATATATATTCAAAAAATTTTTTTTTTTTTTTTTTTTCATTTTTTGTTAATTTTGGAACAAGGAAACTTTCACACATGTCCGCATGAAACCCATCTTTAAAAACACTTATATCTACCTTAACAATATCGTTTTCATACAGGACGTTGTTGTCCGGGATCCCATGGCAAAGTATTTCGTTAATGGATATGCATGAGCTCTTGGGGAACAGGTGGTAATTCAGAGGAGAGGGGTAATAACCATTGTTAATACATTTATTCAAAATGTATATATCTAGGTCGTTGGTTGTAACTCCTTCGCTTATAATATAAGATACATCATCCATCAGTTCTCGAGCGAAGAGACAATTACTTCGAATCGTTTCAATATGTTCTTCACTTTTTATATTATTATACGGGTGGTGGGGCAATTTCCTTTTTTTATTAGTACTACTCATTTGGCTCCCATCGTCATATGGCACATGTACAGGGGTACCGGTCCGGTGGTAATTTGGTCTGTCCACGTATTTGGGTAAATAATATTTGGGTGATGTAATGCCCTTTTTTTGTCTACCCACGAAATGGAAATTTGCAAATAGCTCGCTGTCCTTCAGGTGAGAGTACCTCCTGTTATAATTCTCTTTACACTTGATGAATTTTTTATCGAAATCGGTTATGCGTATACTTGGGTGCACGTTTTTTCTCGTTTTCATATTTTCAATGTATTTGTGAAAAGACGCTGGCGAGCCATCTTCGGAGTAGTTTTGCGTGTTTTTCTTCACGTCGTGGTGGACGGTGTTGGAGAACCCTTCGCCCGCGCTCGCGCTGTTCAGGTGGCGATGGTATGGGTGGCCACGGTAAGGCAGTCTCTTCCCTACGTAGCTCCCATTATAATGCTTCCCCACGTGAATGAACCCCCGCCGCGGTCTCGTGCGTGCTGCGCCATTGCCACCAATGCAGCTACCCTTCCTGCACAAGCAGAGGAGCGCCCAAGTCAGCAGCACGAGGGGATGACACTTCATAGTTCCGCGCCCCGCAGTCACTCATGTAAGGGAATGAAAAGTAAACGGGGGGGGCAGCCACACACATCCCCAACGTTGGCACGTCCCCACTGCTGCCCCTCTTTTTTTTTTTTTTTCTTTTTTGTTCCACTTCCATCCCATCAATTTTGTCACATCCGATGAGTGAAGGGTCGGACGGTTCTTACTCTTCCCCCCCCAGGCGGGGGTCACTTCATCTGTGGCGCCTCAAAAATTATGCGCACAAAGGGGGGGGTAGCGCAGTTCCTCTTTGCCATTTCGCCTCTATTTCTCCACCCCTTTCTCTCTTTTCCATTTTTTTTTTTTTTTTCATTTTGCTTCCCTTACGGGGGGGGGGCGCTTATTTTTCGTGTGCATGCTTTTATATGGACCTGAGGCACGCCTCTTCGCCCTGCCGTGGCGGGGAATTTCCCCCAGAAAAGAGGTGCACATGTTAACGTAGTTAAAACAGAAAGGGGACGACGGATCTCCTTTTTCTTCCATCCTTTTTTTTTTTTTTTTTTTTCAGCATGGTGGTAATCGAAATGGTGTAGTTGTGCATTTTGTGGTTAAGTCAGCTGTGTGAAGTTTGGTGGCGGGGACAAATGAACCAACAATACTAATGCAGAGGCACACGTCTCCAATGTGTGTGCCCCCTTTTTTACTTTTATTTTTTACGTACTCACATAAAGCCAATTAAGTGCGCGGCGTGAGAGGTGACGGGTGACGTGGACTGGACCTCCCCACGTGGCCACCCCAAACGAGTGAGAAGGGACAAAGTAGAGAAGTCCCATCATGTAGGAAAACAAATTTTGAAACAAATAAAATAAATGGGGTTCTCATGGTTTACAAAAAAAAAAAAAAAAAAAAATAAATAAAATGAAGCAACTCGGTGGAGATACAAACAGGTGTGTGGGCAATACTGATGCTGCACATGGAGAGGCACATGTTCAATGCTGCGGAGGGGGGGTGGTTTGTTCCTCCGCGTGTGTTTGCCCCTTCGTTTGTTCATCACAGATGGGGTTGTCCTCCTCATCAGCTGGGTCGTTCATGTCATCATTTGCCTGCCCCTCCTCAGCTGCGTCGTTCATGTCCTCATTTGCCTGCCCCTCCTGAGCTGCGTCGTT